CGTGTCGAATAACTTTAGATATGAAATACACTGTGTGACTATGCTTTTTTTTATTTGTGTCCCCCATCATATTTTTCATGTTCAGTGTTACACTCTCGACGCGCAGTTCCATAGAGAGGTGTGGGATTACTCGGCGGCGCTGAAATATCTCAGTCCTGCGCAGGCCATTATTTTCTCATTTAAGCGTGTTACGGCGGATTCGATAATATCGTGATGATCCTGGCCCAACAAAAATGAGAAAAAACGCGGGCTCGTTTGCTCGGCGCTTGAATTCATAATAGAGACAATTATTTCCCCATTACCTTATCCACGCGATGGAAATTTCCATGTAAAAGTTTACGTAACGCAAAGGTAGCAGTAGCACAGTCTAACAGTATGAGTAAACAGTATTGACGTATAAAATCTAGTAAATTTCTAATTTTAAGAAGATTAAAGACTTGTCGCGTATGATGCGCCTCTGCGTCCATTTGAAGCTGTTCATCAAGCGAGAGCAGCTCTAGCGGGGTATTATTGTTACAAAGCTCAATATAATCCTCCGAAACCTGAGACCCCGATTACAGGCATCGAAGAATACCTACGCCAGACACAGGGGCCGATTCGTGCGGGAAATAATGGACGCGAAATATCGGTTCTAACGGCGGAATTTCAATAATTCCTTCCTCGCGTATCGAGCGCATGGCAACGTACGAGTACCCTCGCTACGTTACGCCTCGTGAACTCTTCTCGTATTGTTCTCGATCACGCGGACGATAATACCATACGTCGTGATTTTATCTCGGCCTACGTTAATCCGCCGAGGACAACGTTGCCGGTCGCGATGCGACCAAAAGAGAGAGAGAGAGAAAGAGAGGGGAAAAGCGAAAGCAAGGGGATTCGCGTAAACGGGCGGACAACGAGAGTAGAGTGAGGACGAAATTCGCATATCCGCTCAAATATATTTCCCACGTACACGTAGAAAATATTGAACCGTCTCCTCGTTGTTCGAACTGCCCTAGCCGCTCCCCACGATTCGAGAGTTCCGATCATACGGCCAGGAAAGGGAAGTAAACTTTTTTTCTGCATTTAATGCCGCAGGAATGTGGATGCAGCCAGCCATGTCTGGGTAGTGCCGTGTAACAATGCCGGCTCATTTCGACTCTTCCGTTTTGTTGCTCGGAGTGGATCGCGAACGTCGCGTCGAAAGAAAAAAGTTATCCTATGCGCTGCAGGGAGTGCACTTGCACAGAAGTCTAATCTATTTTAGACGCGGGATATCTTGCAAATTAGTCACGACGTCTGGCTCATGTCAATTAAATTACATTCTATTCTAGGGCACATATTTCTGAGTGGAATTGCATCGTATAGTTGTTTAGTTCAGGGTAATGTTGATCGGACGGCGCCGGCGCTTAGCTTCATTTGAAATAAATCTGGCTGGACGCGATAACTGGTGACAGTAATGCATTCTGATATCGAGTACGACATCGTGGCTTTATAATGACATACGAGATTCGATAGGATTGATCTCGAGTTTAGGCTAATCCATCCGCCGTAGGTGGATTAGCTAATCCACATTGGCTAATCTATACATTTCGGAATCACGCGATGCGCGACGATCATGCGCGGAATTAAGATTTGAATTTTAAATGCCAGTCGTGAATACAAGCGAGATATTCTAATTATTCACGTAAAATACCGTGAGAACGAAAACAAAATCTTCTTGAGTTCTATAACCGCGGATATTTAACAACTGTCGGCGACGATTTGCGAGTCGTCGCGTTCGTTATCTCTAATTGACACAGGGAACGAAATGTCCCGATTGGTGAATGTGGACATGTTTATGAATATACAAAGGATGTAAATAAATGCGGATCATTACGCGAAAAATGAATGTTCCAGTTTCTCTGCGGCGATGGCGGAGATCATATTTACATTTTGCAGAATACTGTATGTTAGAATTTACAGTAATAAGCATCAAGATAAAACTCCCAATATCCGATTCACCAATATATTATTTAATGCACTTGTGTTTTTTTTTCCAAATAGAAAAACGCGTTGAAAACGATACATATTTGATGAATTCAATTCTTGCTTTCAGTGGATATACATAAAAAGTACATTGCGACTGTTACGAATAAAAAGAGATTATTTTCATATGTTTATAATATTGAAATTTAAGCTATCTATTTCAAATTTTTATATAGCATTTTTATATAGCGACTTTTATATCATAACGTAACGAGGGCAGGTTTAACGCTGTAACGCGGTTACGTTATTTATTGCAATAAATTATTATCATCGCGGTAACGAGATACTGGACATAGACTATTTCGATAACTTTTACTATCGACTTTATGATGTATCTAATCTATCATCTCATAAAAGATTAATGATTTGTGCTTTTTTAATACGATCTCAAAGTTTCGTTCCCTTTTTGCTCCCTAAGGATTACTGTTCAAAGCGTCAGAAAAAAGTGCAATAAATATAAGGTAATCCTTCGTATTTCAATGAATTCTGGAAGTAGAAGAAAAGAATTGAAGTTTGTGAACGATTCTTGAAAATTTTGCCAGTCTCTCAAAGGTGTCGTTCACAAGTGCAATAAGACTAAATTCTATCGATTATTTAACAGAGTATTTAATATACGATATGACATACGTGTACAAAACAATTTTACTTTTCATATTCTTATGCTTCTATCTTGAGTTACTTCTTTTACGTACATTTCGATTTCTAATTATTGGATTTAATTAATGCATACTGCACCTCTCGATTTTTGTATCATAGTATTTGCAATCGGTGAATGACAAAATCGAGATTATGTCGCTACCTCTTGTTTTACAATACCGATTTACGTACGTGCACACGGGACAGATATATACCAATGCGTTAAAGTAGATTAATAAACACAAGCGCATTCAAATTAAGCTCGTAATTAAACACTCGCGAGGTGTAATTGCGGTACATTTTGTTACGAGATAGCAACACCGATGCGATACGTTTAATTTCTGTGTCAAATGTGATCATCCGTATAAAGCATGCATGAAAGATACTGTTCCATTCGAGATTTGAAATCATAGCACTTAATAAAATGTTGCGATTAAAATGTTTTTTAATTTGTTTAAAATATATCATTCATCAATTAGGCCGCGTTACATTTGAGTATCTACGAGACAATCGTTATAAACTATAATTCCATCCATATTGATTAATGTTGAAAAGTTCTAAATTTATTTGCCTTTGTTTGCGTGAATGTTTTACGTGATGTAGCTTGCGGTATTGATTGATAGTAATTCACTTTGATTTGACAATAGTACCTGTTTTCAATGTGTTAATCGCGAGTGTAATGTCATGCTATACATATTAATTAATCCTTGTCCGGTTGCCGCAGTAGTAGTACCCTTTGGGCCATTTACGTCATTTTCGGCCTGTAGAACATCTCGTAATTTAACGCGTTGCACTAAAGAACATCCTCACGACGTCGCAAAGTTTCGGCTTCCTTGACGTACAACTTTGATGGAACAATTCCAAGTTTTACGCGCTATAAAAGGCAGGCCGACGACGTCATATCACGGCAGATAGGTATCGTGCCGCGATCTGGATCGCGTCATTAACGAGAAGATATCGCGTATCTCTACAAATTACATCCGGATGATTCCGAGGACGTTCAACTTCGCGTCCAATACCTATACAGCTTGAGCAATCTAACTTTTTTGCAGGTTCTCTAAAAAAAAAAACGAGTTTTCGTTTTAAAGTGTCACAGGCAGTTTCTATATCGCTATACAACGCGATGTATGCATGTTTCATACGTGATAAACATCTATTACGAATAAGAAAGGATTGAGATCAAGGCGCAGTGAATGTAAAGTGACGTTGCGAAACGTGCGTCATAACGCCTATTCCCCTCAGTCAATCCCGCGGATGATGGCGAAACGTCGATGTAGATGTACAACGGCCTCGATAGGTCAAAGTACGGAAGTCGTATTAGAATTGCCTGCGTACTAAGCGGCAGGTATGCCGTATGTAGTCGGGTTAATAATTTACCCGACCTATGGTTAATACTCTATATGACGTCACCTAGGAAATCGATCCGTTAAAACTTGCAGTACTCCGGGGAATGACGTCTGTTAGAACTTATGGTCTACCGCAGCAGAGGTGGAACGTTGGTTAAACGCCAGTTTGCCCGATCGAAGTCGTGGACTCGAAATAAAATCTCAGTCGGAAAGCCAGTCCGAGCAAATATCCCGAGAACAATATACTCGCGCTCGTCAATTCATCGATCATATGTTTATCGATTATATTAATAAAGCAAACTTGAGTAACCAGCGAGCACACGTTGCACGAGGGTACGGTTAGTTAATCGTACCTACAGACGAATTACCGATTGAATTTCGTGTCAACCTGATCGTACGTTTCGTATCAAGTGTCACGAAATTGACAGGAAAATGGGGGGGGGGGGCGTGTATTAAAGTAGTATCATGCGCTGTCCATCAGCGTTTTCGTGTTATCGAAGGCCCGACGATACCTAAATTAAACAGGCGAACGCCCTTTATTTCCAGATGTCAGGTGTCACACCAGTTATGAAATCGGCGGGCTATTGTACAAGTATATGATCGAAGAGACCGACGTAACGGGTTTAACTCTCTTGAATCAGATTGCTATACATCAGTTTTAAATTAACCCTTTGACGTTAATTTGGCGATATTCATTGTTTTCCTGTTAAACTTTGTGGTTCTAATAATACATTATTGATTGCTGTTTCGCGCGCAGTTCCATCCTTTGTTCCAATATATTTTATAGTATTCAGTTGTATTGTGAATAGTAAGATATACAGTAATATTTATTTTACATGTATAAATTAATGTTTGCCTGTGATTTAGCGTTTTAGCGCAAGTTTACTCGAAATAGAAATTTTATTTAAATGAGAATGTCAATTTTCAAATAATGAGAACAAGTGAAAACAACTGTTACGATATAATGTATAGATAACACTTATATAGCTTCACATTATAAATTTAAGACAGTTTCAATTTTTAATCATAATGCACATATGATAATAATCAGTCCCGAAGCAAATCGAATATAACATTAAATTTATATCTTATCATGCTTTATACATGTCATCGTTAAATAGAGACGTAACAACTGACATGCTGCTGCGTTAGTTTTTCTTTACGCGAGGTATTCATCGATCCGTGTAAAAAAATATATGATTTAGTAATAGCATTAAAAATGCATATGCGGATTATGCACGACATGCAAAACACATTCGTTTCATCGTATTTCGCAGCCGGGAATGACTGCGATTTATAGTGGCGTGACTAAAACTGAAAATAAACTAGGAATATCGCGCTTTTTCCGCGCGATACATAACAGATACCGCGTGTCGCCGGTGTACAACCCGTATATCGTTTCCATTCTCTCTCTCTCTCTCTCTCTCTCTCTCTCTCTCTCTCTCTCTCTCTCTCTTTCTCCTCGATGGGCGCGAGAGCGTTTGTATGTGCGAAAGGTAACATGCGCAAGAGACAATGAGGCTTGGGTTACAATGTTTGGCAAATAGATTGTCTGAATCGTATCGGTTTCAACGAATTGCATCGTCGAGCATCCAAAGGCCAAAAAGGTACAGCGAACGGGCAAAACCGTGCGGGCGCCACGCGCGAAACAATGAAAGTACAAAGACAGACTGCGCATCCCGGAGGAAGGAATATCCGCTCTTTCGCTCTGGCCAGAGTATATCAACTTTGCGATGAGTCGTTTTTGTATACACCGAATGTGTACTTTGTGTGCACTGTGATAATATATCGTCGATGAGCAACGGGGGGGTTTATTCAGTCAGATATCGCGTCGGGTAACATCTAATGTGGGCACACGCGCGTTACATTCAATAGAAACGTCCGTCGAAGAACAGATCGTTCGATATGCCGTCCCTATAAATGAGTCAACCTTCAACATCTCACATTACTAATCGCCACACTCATTTAACGTTCGGAATGACAGCCGTCATAATATCTTTCCTTGTCCGAAGAGGGGATGATACGAGGCGATAGCTGCCTATCAGAGTTAGGTCGCTGATCGATAAGACTCTACCGATTCCCTTGCACGATATCATCTGTGTAACATAATACACAGATAATTGCGATAGATAATAAAATCAACGTCATTATGAAGTTATAATAGAACATCTGCTTAGAGAGAAAAATTTTCGTAGCCTACTTTTTGTTTTTAATAGATTATACAATATATACTCTTGTGATCGCTTTAGGAGCATTTGTTAAATTTGCATCAACTCCATTTGTTAGAAAGTTTCCACGAGAAGGAGATATAATCATAAAATCCGAGAGCGCGTCAGTTGTCATTGAAAATCATCGATCTGACGGTGTATCTCCTGCGGGTGACGTTCACCCCTCCGTTAGAGGGTCCGAGATAAGTCATCGGGGCCAGGTTCAAAGAAAACATATTTTCCGAGGGTGCCTCGGGCTAAAAATTAATATTCTTTCCCGCGTCGCTCCCCTCAACGAACGATTCATCCGACGTCAAAGCGAACGAGAACGGCCGACGCGGCGCGGTCGAAAGTGTTTCCCAAACTGTCAACCAATTAATCTTATTAATTTGTCCCCGTGCCCGCGTCGCGCCCGCGCTCTCGCGGTGTGATTTATGAGAGGTTTAATTAAACGTTTTCGTAAAGATACTCTCGACCCGGCAGGAGCGGCGGGGTCCCGCATAAATGGTCGATTCATATTCGTCGATTTATGCTAATGCGCCGTAAAGGAAGTGCTCGGTCGCGAAAAAAAGAAGAAGAAGGAGGCGGGAAGCGTCTCTTATAACGTAACTTCCGACGGAATTTGTATTCTCGAGAGGGCTGCGTCCCCTGTTCTTAAAACAGGATCGCTGATGTTGCGACCCGAATGCGACTCCACGGCATCGCGCTGACTCTCGAAATTCGACCGTGCGATTTTCCACCCCAGTCGTTTGGGAAATTACAGGCGTGTAATTTCCCACACTCGAATTTGCACTGTCTGCCAAAAAAGGAGGATCGCGGAATGATCTCCTCGTGATTGGACTCCTTGTTTTTCCGCGCCGGAAAGAAATGATGATCGCTCGTCGCCGAAACGGCGGGTATCAATTACGCACGGCCTAATTATTCGAAATCATGCGCGCGATCGACACGCACGCAGTTAACAAGAGAGCCAATTACCCATACACACGGTGCTGGCCAGAGTGCCGGGCCGGGCAATACCGACGTCCATAACTGCGGCAGATAATTACGCGGCTCTCTTGGCAGGCCGCGCTCTGCTTACAAATCGATATGATTTTTTGCGGGCATCGATCAACTGAAACTGATGGCCGCCGCATCAATTCTGAAGGTTACTGCAGCTCGTAGCGATAAGGACTGACCGTTAATCTATCGTCTGAAAAATTGCGTGGTTATGGCAAAGTGATGGCAAAGTGATTGCCATCCGTATAACGAAGTTTTTTTTTCGATAATCAACAGGTAATGTCGTTAGGTTATCGTTAACTGTAGACGTAGCTTTTCAAGCGTTTCCCTTTTCAGCTCCGCAAAAACGGCAATGTCGCTTTTATATCAGAGAACGTCGTCGTTCTATTTACTTCGTTCAAAGCGTGTCGGTGTGTGTCATATTCGCCCTGTCTCCGATCGTTCCGAGAGCTCCGTCCGCTTTTTTCCGAGTTTATACACGGGCCGCGCGGTGCGTGCGAAAAAAAAACGCGACGCGTTGAAATTACAGAGTCCGTGTAAACGGCCGTGTCACCGTCCGTTTCTCGCGTTCGGCGCCGTTGGAAATTACCGGCCGTCACTATGGAATTTGCATCTGGACGATATTGGACATTTCGACGGCGTCGGGCATAGTAAAAAATTCACGCGACCCATCAGCGCCGATCGGCCGTTACGCGTTGTTTACATTCATCACGGTAAAACATTTTCGCGATGCTGCGGGCATACCATTTTAACGGCGGGTGTTTGTGCAAGCGGCGCGCGACGCGGAACGCGGAACCCCCGGCATGGATAAAATCACGCAGGAGTAGTATAGATCCGGTCGTATTTTCCGCTTAAAATATGCCTAAACAAGTATGTACACTTCATTACGCATGGCCGATGAGGTGCGACGCGAGCGGCCCTTCCGGAACTTGTGACCGCGTTTCGCAATTACCGCGCGTGCGGTAAACAAACCAATTCGTCGCGTTTGTCGCACTCCGGATCCGCGGCTTTCACAAAAAATGATCCGATTATAGCGGATTTTTCCAGCCGGTAGCGATAGATCGTGAATCGGCGCGAACGATTTTATCCGCGAAACCCGTGCCGCGTCTCTCCATCCACACGTAGATTGCAACGCGCAGCTTTATTTATTTAACCAGCCCGTCACGCGCGCGCGTCCGCGCGACCGACGGTCTAGCGCATTTCGCTCCAATTCGTGAGTATGAAATGAGCTTTGTCGTCTCTCGATGCTTCGATGCATTCTCTGTCCGCATAACAATATCTCTAATAGCGATACATCGCACGCGTGCACGTGTACAGGCCCGAGATCCGACTCGCTGTACATTGTGCTCCGCGGCAGATAAGGTTTACAACGTGATAACTGACAGGAAGGCGGGGAATGGGGTGATGTTCCTCGCGTGTGCTGACTTCCCGATAAAGCTTCCCGATGCCGCCATTCTGTCGGCCACTCGGTAGACGAGTTGTTGCGTGATCTGTGGCTTCCTCCTCGGATCGATCTCCATGCGTATATCTTCCCGAAGTTCCCTTATTAAAGTTCCTTTAGTAACTTGGGGCATTCCCCTTCGGCTCATCGTGTCGGTTGATTCGATCTCCTCCTGAAACGTAAAAAGGACGGGGTCACATGTGACGCAAGAATAAACCTGCTCTCTCTCGAAAATTTCATTGAATTGTCAATATGGTTAGCAAACAAATGTTCATATGATGATTCCCAGCTCGACCGAAATTAAACAAATTTTCGGTCCACGTTATTAACTTTTTGCAATTTTATTCTTAACCGTATTACTGTCATTGCGAATTTTATTATCCACACAGCTTTTATTGTTTGCACGCTTAAACGCATCCACTGATAGACGCACGGGCAAACGTTTTCTGTAATATTTCGGTTGTTTTTTCTGTAATATTTCGGTTGTTATACTCGGCAAATCACGCGGCTACATTTGATTATACGCTCGCAAATATACTGCCGCGCATGACTCGGTCGTTTCCGACGTCGGTCGAGCTCCGCGTGCGAATTAAATCAAATTGGCGTTATTCACGTGAAGTTTAACGTCATTCGATATCGACGTGTACCCTTTTATACGACGCGGCCGCGTTGACGCCTACCTCCCGAGGTAACGGCAACCCGAAAGGAGCATACGTGGGCGATACGTCCAATGTATATGCAGTTTACTCCCTTTATTTAAAGCTGTGAAAATTAGGGCGACGACCGAGATAAGGGTGACACCACGCAAACAACCGCGGCGCGTTCAACCCTTGTCAACACCTTGCTTCGGCATAAGCGGGCACGAAAATACGAGAATACGCTCACGTTAGGGTAGACTACGAAGCGAATATTCGATCACCTTCTCAGTTTTCTCGTCATGAATGCGTTTTTTGTTAGTTATACTCACTTTGCGGCGATCTTTTTCTCCGTGTCTCGCGTTTCTTTGCAGTTTCTCCGCAGCTGGAATTACAATGGTCATAATCTCGGTCTTGGTCTTATATATATTTCCACCAAACACGGCGATTCTCGCGGTCTGATTGTCCTTAGATTTGTACCAGCACGTGGCAGGCGTTGTTGTCGCGAGTCGCGAAAAGCCGTGCAAAGACTGCACGAGCGCAATAATTCGCCAGGTTATTGCGGGGCTTGCCGCGGAAACGACCTACATTTAAAAAAGAAACTGTCGGCCGGATTGCTTTCCGCCTGCAATGCGAGCCGGTAATACGTTTCTAATGTGCACGTTGGTCCGTAAATCGATAAATAATTTTTACCGCGCCGGTATAGCCTTCGTTTCGCTCGCAACGTCGTAAATCGTTGCACGGAAATAGGCCGGATTTATTTATCATCGCTTCGCTTGTACTCGGTGTTTGTTATTTCATACGTTTTTTCCCCCCCAGTACTTTTAGTATCACGGTAGACTGTCGTTCAAGTTGAATTTCCTACTTCCGAACATATGTAATAAAATCTCTTAATCGTCCGTTATGCAATATTGGTATGCCGCAGATCTGGGTTAATGCCGTCTTTTTCATGATTGTAAAAAAAATTAACGTAGTACTTATTTAGACAGAAATTAATATTTTGTTTCGCCCGTGATAATTAACAAATAATTATTTATTTCGACCTGACTGGCTACCTTTATTAAACATTAAATAGTCACGACGTTTCGACCATGGGTTGTGGTACTTATTACAATGTGTAAATTACGTAGAACGCTATTTTCTTATAGCAGTCGATATCGGCAAGCCAACGAAACTTGATGAATGGACGTACACACGTGTCTAAACGATGAATACGAGGCACTTATGCCACCATCCGGGCCGAAATCCGTTTCATTGCGTTTTCGTCCTGCTGCGTGGAAGATAGACGACGAGGGGTGATTTGCCGAAGGAGTAGTCGCTCCGTGAAGGGGGCGAGTACACACTCGAGAGTGAGCTTCGTGCCGAAGGATGCGTGCTCTCGGGCTTACGCTGCGAATGTTGCGTGCCCTGGCACGTGCTGAGCCCGATATTCTGTTTGGCAGAATAGTGAACCCGAAGTTCACTCTCTTCTTTCGTGGGATACGTGCGTGTTGTTGGCGTGCGATACGCGCGTCACGTGTTTCCTAGTAGTTTATTCAAGCATACAATATTTTCCACGTAATATTAAATTTCCATGATAAGGATCGAATATCACATCGAATAGATACAGTATTATTACAATATTATTACAATTATTTCGATTTTCTTGGCTCGTCTACGAGTCAACAAGCAATTTGCACTCTGCCATTTATCCCGGCCAATTAAATCCTCCAATACTTTCACGATTAATTATGTTCAATACCTTGCGTGGATACCTAAATATATTCGCGCTATTTGCAACATACGCATATAACCTCCTGTTTATTCGGCCGATGAGTACATGAGACGAGCGACGGCAGTGGCGTTGTATCGCAAATTACTGCTATCTGCGCGAGAACGAAGCGTCAGCAGCGTCGAAAGCGTCGTCAACGTCAGCGATGGCATCGTTGACGACCGGCGGCGTCGCGATCCTCTCCGGCAAGCGCCGGGGCGCAAGCTTGGCTCGGCCCGAGCCGATAAAAGCCGAAAGCCGTAAGCACGTCGTAAACCGGCCGCATTTCACCGCGGCGTCCCAGCGCATTAGCCACTATCTCTCTTTTTAATTAAAATTAATGCCTCATTACTTGCGACTCTAAGGCCCGTATTTATAATCGCGTTTCCACTGTGAAACTCAGAATTAGTTTTGAGACATATAATATGGTTCAACTGGGGGTTCAACAGACTTCTTAAGAAGTCTTTAAGATTTCAACAGAAATCTCAAGAGTCAATATAACATTCGTAACATATTCGCTATGCTTGTGATTCAAGTAAAACACTCAAACGTTTGTTTTCAGATAAATTCTGAGTTGTATTTCTCGCGGTTGAATAATAATCGATCCTTGAGAAAGAATCATATGTGTAAACGTCTTAATAGTTTTTGAATCTTATATTCAAATGTTAAATTGGAAAAAATTGCTTGTCTTACTTAAATGTATTATAAAGACATGAAAAAAATTGCGTTTAAATATCATTTATTTTACAATAAAAGTCATCAACGGTGTGCGAGTTAATTAAGAGCAATTGTGTTGTATTGTTAAATATTGTTTCACGATGAGATATGCATCGAGCTATAAAACACGTTTATGTGTGCTAACGAAGATGGGGAGAAACAAAATAATCAATTATTTTCTTTTGTTTTTTTTTACGTCGTCGCGTCGGAACGAGCAACGCGATAATTGAACATTTTCAGATTTAATTTTAGATTTCGTATTCTTTCGCGATTGTCTTTCCTTCGTACGATTGAGCAGGAAATTTAAAGAACCAATTGTACTTTGATAGCACTGGCAATCACGTGTAAAACGGTATCTTTTTAATTCAACAACAGAGACGAGACTCGACTCGACCCGACCATTAAGAAGTGTTGATCGAGGATTACGCGCGTTACACGCGCGACGAACGCATACGTAGATACTACCGTCGCATTTTGGGGATTCTACTAAGCACGTTAACGGGTCGAATTTATGCATCTCGAGTAGTCGACGCGCCATTGTCGCGTAACTAATGGAAATTTAAGTCCGCCCGTAAATTCAACGGCGACTCCTCACTGGCATGCGTGTCACGTATCACTTACCAACGAACCCTATGTAAACGCGCCTGTTTACGATATTATACCCTAATGCAAGCGAAAGCTCTTATCCTATCCGCTCGCCCCCTCCCCTCCCCGCGCCTACATACGTTGATGCCCTAGCATCGAATATATTATCGTAATTGCTAAATATTTTTCTTTCCTTCTCTGTTTCAGGTGAGCTTACAAGCCCGGATGACCCAGTGAATATTGCGCGCGGTTATTACCGTACGTATGATGCATCCGCGTTAATTAGTAACAGACGATCAGCGCAACCGACTATTAATTTCACTTAATCGTGCATTTAACTAATTTCTCTCATTCATATCAGGACAAACACATGATTCGGAATTAGACCATAATTTTGCCGGTAACCAAAATTGCGCATCTCTTTTCGATTATCGTTCTATATTAATCTATATCGTAACGAGATCGCACGCTGCATTAAACCGTCCTAGTTTGCACAAAAATACATTACGTATAACTTTTTATATATAGATATGTGTGCGAGTTATTTTGCGCCTTTTTAAATTGAGGTCATGAAGACAAAGAAAAACGAGCGACGACTCGTTTACGTCAACCGCAGTGATGAGATACGTCATTGTATGTCACACCGCGAGAGTATTTATTAAGGAGCCGAAAAAAATATATCGTCGTGTATTCTCAATGTAATAAATGTATGGGACGTTGTGCGCCTCTTTTTCGGCCAAGTGCGTGCAAAAAGAGGAGCCGTCGACAACTACAGATAGCAGGTGCATTAGTTCAAGTCGTACATACAGGTCCCCAAGAGAAATCATAAGGCCTTACCCTCGCCCTTTTCGTAATGTCGCGGTGCTCTGCGAGCGGCGAGGGCGAGTGCCTCTAATAAATCCTAATACCAAAACCCGTCCCCCAACCCCTATTACTCATATCCTCCGCTTAGGCGTGTGGTGCACACTCCTGCCGACTCCTGCGCGCGAGTCGCCTTTGTTTTTGAAATCCTAACTGGGGTTACGTTTCATTAAACGCCGCCCGGCCTCCTTGTCGTGCGGCAGCTCGTAGTAACATTTAGGTAATTATTTTACGACCGCAGTTAGATATCGAGCGTTTCGATCGCCACGTCATTGTCTTGATAATAGCACTAGGGAAAGTGTCGGGATTATTTTCTCGAATAAAATTATAATCACGTGTCCTATTATTGGTCCATTTGTGCGGTCAATTTTCAATAGCAAGAGTTAATCGATTATTGATAGTCTCGGTTATGGAGAACTCCGTATATCCGTAGATATATCTTCCGTATATATATTCTCAAACAGATAGCACATCCTGAAATAACTGCATCCGGATTATCGACATTACGTTAGGAGCGTCATATATTTGGAATAAATTATTTCCGCGCATTGTTGGGTAATGTACCGCGGGTCCTGTGTATCGATAACGAGCCAATTAGCGTATTGTTACCGCTTATATAACGCGCGGCGCAATCTGCAAATCGCGCTATCAGTTAAAAGGCATTCGCGCGTACACTTATTCGCGAATGGTTTCGCGTTTTGATGTCGTCATTGTTCGAACGTGCTAGATTTGCATTTTTCCCCCTTTCCATAACTGATAGAGAAACATAACGATAAATTCTCTAATGAATTGCGTCACTTCATTGTTACGATCGACGATCAACTATCGCGCGATGTATGACGTCGGTCAATTAATTTCGAGAAGCGTATCCCTCCCATTCTTCTCTTTTCCTACTCGGTTATATCACATGGTAAACGAGATAATTGCACGAAGGGGAGGCACTCTTCGCCTCTTCCTGCGCCGCCGTCGATTTCCTACGGCGGGGTTGAACCGCAGCGGCCGTACCTTCCGTATCCTGCGTCTAACGATTGTGATTCGCGATTCTCGGGCGGGTTGGCGTGATTGGCGACAATTACGCGGCATCGTTTCTTATACGCCTCTACCCTCCGTCCAATTATTCATTCCTTGCCGAAGTGAACTTTAAATCGCGGCCGGTTTCGGCAGACACGGCCTGCCTCCGCGCCCGCTCCCATCGCGCGTCCCTCGTTTTCTTCCAAGTCGGACTATTATTTACGACTACAGGCCCGGCTGCCGGCTATGGTTCGTGGTTTATCGTCTATATCGGCCGGCAGCCTCGTTTCGCACGCCATTCGTTAAATCAGACGGGGAACAGGTAGCGCGGCCATTATTGGCTTCTCCCGCGCTGTTCGACTTAACGCGTCGTGCATCGGCGATAAAACCACTTTGGATCATGGCGACGTGTTTGGATGGTAATCGAACGTTTGTTGCGAAACGTGGAAAATATATTGGCTAGACGGCAAATGCGATTTTCGCTCGAGCACACATACGATATACCTTGGATTAAATCGCGGGAGAAAGAACCGAACGCTCGCTTACATGGCAAGACTATAAAAACTGCGCTGTAAAATAGTTTAATTAAGAATCTACCGTGCGCAGATACAAAAAGTCCAATTTTCCATGCT